ACTGTTTTGCAAAGTGGAAGGAGTCTAGCTGCGGAAAATGTTCTTTTAATGCACCGTTAATACTGTCTTCTGTACCTATGGGTGCTTCTTCGCCTTTGTACGCTAGACAGATAAAAACTGGTTCCCAATCGTGAAATATACACATTAATTCATAAAGAAAAACAGTTTTCTGTGTATAAATATATATACGATTGTACAGCTCGATAATAAAATCTTTTTTAAGCAAATACTAGGATTGTTCTGTCGAATTCTCATAGTTTTGGCCGTTTTCAAATGGAATGTTTGGACTCTTTTCGACAAGTTCGATGGAATGTGATCGATAACCTTTGGGTCTTGTTCTTTATGGACATATTCATGTCTCATCTTGAACAGACACGAATGAAGCCGGAAATAGAGTGGACCACCTATTACTGCAGGTATGTTGACGACACGTTTGTAGTATGCACTAATATGTGTCACGCATCCACGAAGTTCAAAAACCTCAATTCGGTTCACCCTCACATAGCATTTACAACGGACCATGAAAGTGACAATCAATTCCAATCAGTTTTAGATGTCAACATGAAATGAAGAAATGCTGGGACAATTGAAAAATCCATTTATTACAGGAAAGAAACTTGGACTGGCCCATACTTGAATTATCACAGTTTCTGCCCGATCGGCTACAAATGGAGCCTGATGGAAACGCTCTTCCTCAGAACTGGGGCGTTGTGTTCAGACGATAAGATCGAAGAGGAACTCGCAGTCATCGAAAATAATCTTCTCGAAAATGGATACCCTTGGAATTTCAAATCAAAACATTGTAAGGAAAAATCACCTAGACCGAAACCCGATATAGTTGAAAAGAAACCAGTTTTGTACAGCTTGATAATGAAGTCATTGAAAAGAGATACTTCTTCGCTGAACAAAGAAAACTGTTTTTCCTTATGAATTAATGTGTATATTTCGCGATTGGAAACCAGTTTTTATCTGTTTAGCGTGCAAAGGTAAAGAAGCATCCATAGGTACAGAAGACAGTATTAACGGTGCATTAAAAGAATATTTTCCGCAGCTAGACTCCTTCCACTTTGCAAAGCAGTATGCTTGTTAACCCAGTCGAAAGTAGATAGGTATCCTGCTTATATCAACTCAGACTGCATTCATCTATTCACCTGGAAGTATATAGGAAGGACTTAGAGGAGAGTGTTTACTAGTTTCTCGAAGTATACCCCTAGAAATCTCCCCCAATGAAATGCAGTTAAGCATTCTGAAGAGCAATCGTCAAACCCGTAATTGATACAGGATATGCAGTGGAAATTAGTCACGCGTTCAAAATAATCAGTACACAAAGAGAAGCATGGTTACTCCGGTTAGCAGAAGCGATTACCATCAAAAGACTTCGAACCAACCTATGCATACAGAAACAGTGTGTGACTAATCTCCCACTACTCTGGTAAGCATAGCCGTTTTGTTGTGTTCAGGAACATTCCACTCAATCTAGATTGTTATTTTCACGCATTGAGTTGAACTCACTATTAAGGTTTCAAATCTACTAAATTAAATCATTTTATAGTTTTACTTCACTATACACCCCACCCTCCTGAACTCTCCACCATGTATATGTATAAATTAACTGTGTTGTTCTATCTTGTATTTTGTCTGTAGTTCACTCTTGTCTCCAAGCGAAATCAGAATTCTTCCTGTTCCCTTGTCTAATTACTACATAGATAATTACTCTTTTAGCACTAATGAACTATCTATTTACATCATCTTTGAAATTATGTTGCTGATACTCTCTATGTATAACTTGAAATCATTGTAAAATTATGTTCAGAAATTTTGTAACACAGTAGATTTATTTAGGATGTGTGCAGTTGAAGAGAATCCACGAGCTCGTATTATCTTGCCAATATGTTCGTCCTTTCTTTATTCAGACTTTGAAGGCGTCTCCTCTGTCCACTTGGTGACCGCTATCATCAATCAAAAGATGAGACAAAACAGAACTTCTGATAGATTTTACTTGACTTTTTCCAGACGATGAAGGAAGATAATCAGTAATACATTTGTTGAACTGTCTATTTGTTCGCCCCTATATCGCTTCACAAATTACAACTGAACTCATCAGACAAAAGTTATTCATAAACGTTATAATTTTTCTCTGTCGAATCTTATCACATGTGATTAAAGTAACAGGATAGGAAAACACTTAAGTCAAGCATGTGCGTTGTGATAACTGTTTCATTTACACAAGACTGATTATCATTATTATTATTATTTTCTCTTACAGTTTTCCATATTATCTTTATAATAAATCCACTGAAACACACACTTATGTTGTTTTTCAACACTGCAAAGGTGAGAAATTAATTATTATATATGAGAATAACTAGAAAACGTAGATTGCCACAGTAAAGCTGAAGCAAGCAAGAAAAAAAGCAGAAGAAAGAGGCATCACATATTTAAGGTGTGCAGAAAGAACATTTCATTGCTGAGTTTATCCATGTTAGACATTATTTTATGTATCAGCGAATTTCCCACTTGAATGTACTTTCAAGAGTTGATTTGTAAAGATTTGATTTGCTTTTCGAGTTGATATCAATTAGAGATACATTGAAAATCACGTGGGAGTGTCGGAGAGCTGTTTCGTTAGCCTAGTTTGGGGCTCATTGGCAGTACGGACCCGCTGGGTTTCGAACTCATGACTTTCCGGGTACAAAGCGGTCTCGTATACCATTCAGCCACTAGGACGACCCACAAATTCTAACTTCTACCACCAAACAATGTCATCGGCAGGAAATCCATCCTCATTCCCAACTGGATGCACCTCACTGGAACTCCAGGAAAATCCTTCCTGTAGAAAGTCACTAGCCAGCATCAGATTAATTTTCAAGGATGTTTCTAAAACACATTTAAACTCTGAACACGACTTAGAGATGTTGTTTGAACTTTCGCCTACATTCATCTATCCGTTTGAAAACGCATTACTTGTACGAGATATATTCTTGTATTAGTTCAGAAATATGACAAATGGGTAGAAGCTGGAATCCATAGGCCACTGAGTCAGGTTCCAGGGGCTGAATAGTCTACAAGCTTGACTTGTAACCGACAGGTCCGGGTTTCGAACGTTAGTGGGTGCGTACTGCCGAAGAGCCACAAACTAGACTGACGAAAAAGCTGCGCAGTACTCCCTGATGGTTTTCAATGGTTCTCTAAATAATACCAATTCGTGATCAAACTCAAAGTTATCCCCTATTGGGACAGGAGGAGGAAAACATATTGTGAGTCAGTGGTTCTTCGCATATGACCTTTAAACTAGACAGTGAACATTAATATATATTAAAGATTATGCCATGATGTATCGTATTCAGTCGAAGTATAACTGATATAACCTGTATAAATATATTGAACAGCTATTTTGCAGGGATTTGACTTGTTTCATATTTGACCAGGGATTGAAATCCTCTAGAGAACAAATGGAGTAGTGGACAACTGTTTCGTCCCACTTTTAGACTCCTCCTTAGTACACAGCCACCGGAGTTCGAACCCAGAACCTATCGGTTACAAACTATCTAACCACTGGGAGCTGATTTCATTGGCCCATGTATCTTAACTCCCCCCAATTCTTGATTTTAGTGCGACTGGCACAAGATGATACCATGGGCGAGTATTTGTCCTCACACCCAACCTGATGTATCCTACTGGCTACAACTTCTCATTGGAAACATCTAGACAACTTCCTCCTGTAGCTAGTTACTAACGACCGTCAGATTAATTTCCAAGGGTGGATTTGTAGGGATTTGACTTACTTCAGGTTTCAAGGTTCATCAGTAATTCCATTTTCATGTAGAAATAAATGAATTCCTTCTCAGATAGTCTTCTTTATCTCAATAAGCAGCATACAGTTGCTGTGTTGAAGTGTTCATCTCATTCTGTAAAACTAATCCAAATCCAATCACATATTAACTCAGATATGATAGAGAAGATTTGTAGCTCATGTGGATGATTTTGATGTGATTGTGTTCTAATTAGAATTAGAAACTCAAATTTATAGAAATTCAACTCTCACAGACCAAATCCTGAATTACAACAACAACAATCCAATAACACACAAAAGGAATTGCATACAAACACTATTCAAGAGGGCAAAGACTCATTGCAGCACTCCCACGTTAAGGAAAATCGAAGAAAAATATCTCATGGACGTCTTCCAAAAGAATGAATATCCATAGAATTTCATCAAAAGACATATAACCCCAAGCCAATCTATCAAACCAAAAGCCATCAAGGAAAGCACAGAGAAAATTGCCCTACCATATATAAAGGATATTTCAGAAATCACTGCAAGACTCTTCAAACCTCTAAGAATTGACATCGTACGCAAACCAACAAAATCACTTCACTCAATTCTATGTCAACCAAAAGACTCAACAGCGAAAGAAGATAAAACCAACATCATAAATTGTAACAACGGCGAAAAAAACTACATTGGTCAAAGTGGACGTCCCCTTCGTCTTCGTATCCACGATCATAAGCTAGTCGTCAAAAGACATGATATCCACTCTCTCATATTGCCTCACCGCATACAGACAACCACGGACATTAATTCGACTGAGACAACGTTCAAATATTAGACACAGGAAACAATAAGAATGCTAGAGAATTTTTAGAAGGCTGCCTGGCATTCCAGTGAATCATCAATCAACAGACACATCGAGATAGACAACCGATTAGAAACAAACCTCACACACACAAAGGGTCAAAGTTCAAGTCAAAGAAACAATCAGTTCCAATACAAGTAACCTAGAAGGTGTGAAAACACACAAGAACAACCAATCACGTCCAAGGTCACTGACCAGGAGAGATGATTAATAAACTCGTGGAGAAATCTAAAAGCTCACTTCATCAAATTGAAGTATGCGCTGTAGATGTCGCCTAGTAGGGCGATGAAAGCTTCGCAAATTAACTATCCAGCTCAAAAGGATATTAACTCACCGGAGAAAACAATAAGTCAACGAATATCATTACGAATAATGATAACAATAATAGTAATAATATTATCAATCAATTACATAATAAATCAAAATTATTAACAATGTGAAGTTTTCAACGAAACAATCTATCAGTTGACAAAAAAAGAAAAATCCAAATTCGCTAAAAAAATAAAACAAGCAATCAAATTATTTGAATGGAGCATAGTTGAAAAAACAAAAGAAACACCATTGTGTGTGTGTGTGTGGATAGTTTCACAATACTCGTTCCCTTTTGTTTTCTTCTATTACATATAATGTGATGATGGATAGTACATGTGTGTGTGTGTGTGTGTACAAACTCGATGGAATTGAAATAAGGAAATAAGAGAAAGTGGGAATTGTCGAACGGGCAGGCGTCGGAGGTGAGCTGGGTTAGGGTGGGATGGAGAACAGTGAAGGTATGTACGACAGTGAATGTGAATAAATTACGAAAAACTGAACGAAAGAAACATCTGAACAAGACAGTAAACCAGAAACCTGTTCTTTTTTCTGTTTGTTTCAGTAGAAAACAGTCAGTCAATTAAGCAATCAAAACTGTAACTGACTATAACAAATGTATTACTAAAAAGAATGCACACACACACTTCATTTCAGTGTATTTTTTTGCATGCAGCAAGTCTGTGCCTCCCCCCCCCGGAATGCGAGAGGGGTTGACGGGAGACAGGAAAAGAAAATATTTGATATGAAGAAGAAAATACAGTAATAATAATAAGAGTAATAATACTTTATCAATACACAAAATGAGTAAGAATAGAAATTGACGTTATTACACACTTTACTGTTCTTCTTTTCATTGAATTGCATTGATTAGGCTGATTGTACTCATATAATAATAATAATAATAATAGTAATAATAACAATAATATTAGTGGTTACTCATATAATGAATGTGAATATATACATGAGAAAAGCAGATATAGCACCAGCTGCTGGCAGTGTTACAAGCCATGCAATCAAGATATTACGAAATATTCCCCAGTTGACATTATCTCTAGATCGTGCACGTCCTACAAAGACAACTGAACCAACTTTACAGTGTGTAGTAGATATTGGAAGACCAATTTTACTTGCAATCAGAACAGTCAACGCCGAACCGATTTCAATACAAACACCACTAAAATGAGAAGAGATAGAAAATAAAATCATGCGGGGGTGGGTGGGGAAGAAATTAAGTGATAATAGTTAATAATTTGTTTTTAAATCAATTTTCTTTTTCCTGTTAACTGATTGGATCGAAATATTCAGCCTCACTTGACATGTCGGCTCCTGATGCGGATGCTTCGAAGATGTCCGAGGATTTTTTTCCTTCACTTTCCCAGGGGACCATAGGGCTTCAAGCTAGAAGGCTTGAAGTTTCTGTAGCAGTGTTTATTTTTTTTACGGGAAGGGGTTGCTAGCCTCATGCCTCCAACCTTCCCTCGTTACCAGTGTTATTACTGGTTTAGCAAGGTAAAGGAGTGCGTTGGAGGCCGAGGACCGAACTCCGGACCATGTGCATGGTCAGAGACCGTGCTAACCACTATGCCACCGACACACTGTCTGAGGATTAACCCAAAGTAATTTGGTGGATGGTAACTAGCAGATGGTTACTCCTCCCATCTGAATGTACCTGCATGAGAAATTCAGGTAGGTACATCAGATGACCAGCCTCAAATAAGATGAAATGAGCATTCTGGATTCCATTGTAGAGCCACCGTTCACCAAATGATGGTGGCTTATATGGATGGTTTTGAAGTGGTTATGTTCTCTAAGTTGGATACTTTGATAGCGAGGCTTTTGTTCTCCATTTAGACAACATCTTCAGCAATGACTGCAAACACATGTTATCTATCAAGAAATTGAAAGCTTCTGAAGTAAACCAGCCAGCTCAGTCACATCAAACGGATGGTAGTATAATTTTAAGCAAGAGACGAAATGTTTCAGTAAGTGTTTAAATTGTTCTCATGATTGATTTCCAGCTTTATTCATCCACTTTATCCTAATGTTATCTCTCCTACAGTCAACATCCAGCAGAGCTAATTTTATACACCATTCAGTAAACTGAAACCAACTCAGCCGAATAAGCAGTGAAACAGTTATTATTGGTAAACGTTTTATGAGTAAACTGGTTTCTATGCCAGATTATAACCCATTGAGTTTGTTTTATTCCTTTACGTTACCAGTGCTGGAAAATAGGGCTTCATGCTAAAGGTTCAAAGTTTCGGTAGCAGTGGTGTTTATTTTCACGGGATGGAGTTGCTAGCCTCATTCCCCCAACCTCCCTCGTTACCAGTCTTATTACTGGCTTAGCAAGGTAAAGGAGTGGTTCAACCGCCGGCGATCGACCACCAAACCACATGAGTGGTTGGCGAACATTCTACGGCTGGCCATTTCACGCTCCACAGGGCAAACCGAACAGTAGTAAACCGCTGAGAAACGTATCCTTCATTTTTTTCGAAATGATTATTTGGTATCATTTATTTATTTATCCCATTGGGTTGAGCGAGTGAAGCACAGGACTAAAATGGAACACTTCTATCCCATTCCGTCCCATACAGTCATCTTTAGCTGGGTCCAAGATCATTCATAAGCGTTCATCTTCTCTCCATACAATCTCCTCAATGTCACTTTTAAACAAAAACACAACACTTTGGGATTGCAATAGATGGCTTGCGTTACTCATGGTGTCACTCAGCAGTCTTCTACGAGTGTGTACGATATGTCGCCATTTTGCTCTGCATATTTATTGGGCAGTAGGTTCTTAGTTGGTTCATCCCCTGGTTGTGTGTTGTCAATCCTTTCTGATCTTTAGTATCGATCAAAAGTAGATGTTCGTGAAAGCCTGCACCAGCTTGTTTGGTAATGCGATAAGTCTCTGAACCACACTTAAGAACTGACTGGTTTCCCAATAATGTGTAAATAACGAATGTTATTCTTTATACTGAGTGTAAATGATTACCACACTGATATCTCAGTAATGAAGGCCTATCTTGCCTTTCCGATCCTGACTGCGACATCTCTGCCTTTAGTTGAAGCAATGCTCCTCGAAAGAGGGAAAGAAGTCAACTTTTTCGAATTTCTTCTGATGGTTTTGATTGGAGCTTGTTGCTTTTTTATGTTGGTTACTTTCATCACCTCCGACTTCTCTATGTCCACTTGAAGTATTGGCCTTGCTGCTTCTCTTGCTAACTTGTTAGTTTTCGCCTGTAAGTCTTCAAGTTATCTGGTCTTGTCTTAATCCTGTTTCCAATTCAAACATCAATTATGATATGTTAACGAAAATAACTAGACGCAACATCTTCAACAACTCAAGTCAAATCACCCAAAAGACTAGAAATATCATTAAAAACCAAATTTTAACTATAAAAAAAAATATGAACCAGTAATTGACAAACCTAGATGGTGTCATTTTGGTCAAATCTTCACCCAATGTTTGAATAACACGTCTACCCCATATCCATAGACCAACGGAGATACCAACACCACCGTAAACAAGAATCCAAAGATCGGTTGGCTTAGACGAATCAACAGATTGTGTTGTAGCAATTAACCATAAACCAATTAACGGGCCAATAGCATTACTATCAGGAAATGCATAAATTAAACAAATAAGCAAAATGTGATTAAATTAGCATTTTCTACCGAAAAAAAGCAAAACAAAACAAAAGCAAAACAGTAGGAAGCATGAATAAGGAGGAACTTTTAGGGTTTGAGAACTCGACTCGATTCGATGTAGTCATTGAAACTTTTATTGTGTTGTATATATTTATAATCTGATTACTTTACGAAAAAGGAAGAGTTATGCGCATTTAATCAGATTATTCTGTTTTTGGAAAATTAAACGAGGCAATTTCATAATTAGTACTTTTTCACTTTCCAATAACATAATCAGATACAAGTAAACTTGATTCTGCCATTTGTGAATGTAAGTTATCTTACTATAATTACAAGAAATGTGGATCTCAGTGATTCAGCGGAGGTCCGGAGTTCGATCCAGCGTAGATACACTCGCCAGCCTTGCTTCACCGATAGTAGGCAAGTGAGACAGAGAGAGAGGGAAAGTTAGGCCTGAGATCAGCAACCACTATACCTAGTAAAAAGAAGAATAAAACGACGGCCACTGGAACTTCAGAGTTCAAGGCTTGGAGGCCTCTGTTTTACTGGGAATGCAAAGGAATTAGACAGGCTACAATAAATACACACAGTTGCCTACAGAGAATATGAGAATTGAAATAGTAGGGCTGACAATTCTGGTATTTAAGCGGATGTTTCTTTTTGGATGGTTAAACTGCAAAGCCTTATTTGTTTTTCTGGACAATAAACTGAATGCTGACTTCACGAAACAACACCAAAAACACATGGGAACTTCATTCACTTTTGTTTCATAGGTAGATTGTTAGGAATTTCCTTTCAACTTTTTAGAAAAAATTATCACTTTCTTATTTCATGTATTCTCCCGTAAGGTAAGAGAAAAAACATCGTCATAAATGCCTATCGAATTGATGCCCTGCTGTGCAGCATAGTTCTTCATTGTGTTATACACACTGTTGGTTTTCGCTTTTAAGTCTTCGATTTGCATTCATTACACATATAATATCGTCTATGTGGCACATGTATACATGTCGACTAGAAATTCATATCATCAACGACTAAAATTTCCGGCGTTGTATAAGAGACAGAGAAAGCGTCCAAGGAAATCGATACCTGCGTTACTCTTCAGTGAAAACGTCTCTAAAATACTGACGACACATACATTTTAATCAATTCTTAACACAACCAGAAAAGTTAGCCATTTAAAGGCTCAGTTATACTCACAGGAATAAAATAAAGATAGGCTGAAATGAAGCAAGCAAACAAATCCACTCATCATTATTGACATTATACGAATATCAGCACGCATATTACAGTTTGCGTTGTAGTATTAAAAAACGGAAACTTTGAAAAGATATCTCCCTCACTGTCTCTCTTATCAATTAAAAGTATCATATTTCACAAAATAAAGTGTGAAAATCAGATTATTCTGGTGAAACAAAAGTGATACAATCATGTACATGCTGTTGTTTCTAAGTGAACACTTAAACTTAAATGTTGTCAAGGTAAACAAAAGTGATTTTTCGCCATATTGGATTGTTGTGAGTGGAATTGGGTTAAAACAGTTAATAGACCATATCAATCTACATAAATGTGCTTCGTATTATTTGACAGGAGAAAAAAAAACTCCAAGAATAGACAACTGGACTGAACGCATCACTTATTTATACATGCCCCCTCCAGAACAAACTGGATTTTTTTTTTTTTAGATTTACAGCTTGATTCCACACTGTATTTTTGGTACAAGTATGGAATTTTCAGCATGGATATCGGTAGCCCAAATTTCGCAGGCCGACCATAGACATCAGGTGTGCGCCGGTGTGGGCTCGAACCCCGGACCATGTGCATGTTCGGCGGGAGTCCTAACCACTGTGCCACCGACGCACATGTGCGAATCAAATGACAACTGTATCTATCACATTCAAATCTCTACCTTCAGCCTCATCAAGTTTAAACAGATCTTCGACAAAGAAGTAATTTGGAAGCTATTTCAACACCACGAAGTGCCCCCCCCAAATCCTTAACAACCTTATTCAACAGCTACGTATCAGGTGATATGCAATGGAAAATTTAGTGAAGACAGGAGTAAGAAAAGGCAGCTTGCTATCACCGATGACATTGCTGACTGTCGCGAACCGGATTATGTTACACATCGCACGTGGAGAGCGAGATGGCAGGAATATCCTGGGCCGACTAGAAGACCTGGACTTCACGGGTGACTCATGTCTTATATCACAAAAATTCAAAGAATTGAAGGCAAAAACCAACAATTTGGCAGAGGAAGCGGAGAAGGCAGGACGGAATTCCAGTGAATATAAAGAAAACAAAGGTGGTGAAGATAACCAACCAAAATCAAGTAGTAGTCACTTATCAGGGGCAGGATCGAAAAAGCAAAACAGACTTTCGTCAGTTTGAAATTAGTTTGGAAATTTGCTGCGCTCAGCAGAAAGAACAACATTTGGATTCTTAACATCAGTGTCAAGTCAGTTCTATTTCATGATTCAGAGACACTGAGCGTGTGTCACCAAAAACCTTCAGACTTGTACCAGCAACTGCCTTCGCTATCTCCATAACCGAAGATTAGATGACCGGAAAGGAAGCAGCAACAACACACTTCGTCAACACACCAGCTAAGAACCTATAGCCCAACAATTATGGCGAAGAAAATGGAGACGAATGGAACAACTCTGAGCAGACTATTAAGTGACATCAAACACCAGGCCATTGCTCGGTTGTTACTCAAGTAGGAAACAACTTGTTCGGTGTTCGTCCAAAGGTGACAACGAGGCGATGAGAAACTACAGGTAATCGTCGACCCTGCTAAAGAGGACCACAGAGAATAGGAAAAAATGTAGATGTTCTACTCGGAACTCAAGGGAATAACAATGCTGATAGAGAAGCTACTCAACTCTGAAGGGCATTAATTCAATAATAAAACTTTTTTCACACCAGACTTGACACCATAAAAGTAGAAAAACAAGGGTCTTACAACTGTAAGCATAAACGCGTATATGCGATGCACATACCTGACATCATTACCACCATGAGCAAATGAACCAAAAACAGCAGTTAGAATTTGAAGCGATGAAAAGACCTGAGCTTCAGCTGGTCGATCTTTGACTAAATCAATAGGTTCAGGTTCCTATTATTATTGAAGGAGAAAATGAAAGGAGTAAAGTTAAAAAAGTACTCAATTTCTTCCCCTGAATTACAATAAAAATAAATCATTGTGATACCTTTAGGTCAAAAAAATGCGTGACGGTTGCTTATACAGGCTGGTCTAAAATTCTATAAGTAAAATCTACAAACCTCTAGTCAGGAAGAGGGAACTCTTGTATTTAATCCAATCTCTGTCTGGGTTCAACATAGAACTTGGCACCGAAGTGCACCAGTTCCAGTTGCCACGTTCCAAACAGCACACAAAGGTAGACAAGAAGATGAGTGAAGAGAATCAATAGAGTTTGACAAGTATAAGAGTGAAACAGAATGGGTAATGGTAGAAAGGAATATGAAAGATTACAGAGACTAAATACATCTGCGCTGGCCATTGACAACGATTTTGAGCCATGTCACCTATTGTCTCCAGCCATTGATTCCTAGAGACCCGAAGGCCCCAACCTGGAAGTCTGCATCTCCCTACCTGACTCAGTTTAACTGTCAAGGATTTCATGGATTGATGAGGCCATGTTTTTGTTTGGCCACCACTTACCCTTTTCCTACCTGCACCTATATCAGCTAGTAATGCCCGTCGGGGGAGGCGGTGGTTAGGCATGCACATCACCTGACCTAGCCATCTCAGTCTATGTAACTTTATAGCCTCGTCGATTGATTTTCCCTCTTTGCCCAACACTCTACGCCTAACGTCAACATTACTTACCTTGTGAAACCACCTAACGTGAGAAAGAGATCGCAGACATCTATGATCGAAAGCAGTCAACCTTTTCATGTCTTCAACTCGTAATGGCCATGTTTCAGAGCCATAGAGAAGGACGGAGCGAACTGATGAGCAGTACACACGTCCCTTGGTTGATAACCGGATGTCACGCCTACGCCAGAGATGGTGTAAGTCAGCGAAAGCAGCTCGAGCTTTTCCGATCCGAGCTGAGATTTCATCGCCAATCAGTCCGTTGGTGCTAACACAACTTCCCAAATAGGTGAAGTGGTCAACATGTTCTATCACTTCACTCCCTATCACTAAGTTAGGAGTTGACGTGGTCCAGTCCTGTAGGAGCATCTTACATTTTGTAGGGGCGAATCGCATGCCAAACATACGAAGATTGCTGCTCAAGGTGTTTAATCCAATAATCAGTGTGGGGCCTAGACTAATGAATTGTAAAGCCGATTATTGAATCCTGGTTTTCGTTCGTTCTCACATTTGATATAGGTGCGGTAAAGGAAGAGAAAAGAGCCAACTTCAAAAGATGAGTACAGCACAGAGTGTTTAAAAGTTAAACATACTTTAGAGGCAGTACTGATGAATTCAATCTACATAATTCGAATATAAACAAGAAACTTAATACATGCAAGTTTTTTATTTGGTTGTGTTCTTTTTTCCAGCTTAGAGTATACAACTAAGGTAAAATCATCCATCTGAGCTACAAATCTTTTCTATTATTTCACATGAAAGTTTAAATGATAATTCTGAGTACATATTTGAAAAAATATAGTAATCCCATAAATTATATATAAAAGATTGAGTATACAGATATGTTATTACATATTCAGCTTTTACTTATTTCTGTCATGATATAAGAAAACTATAACTAAATCAGTTGAATGCTTAATCCATGTCAACTTCTCGAGCAACGACAAAAGACAAGATTCAGGCAACAGATCATTTATTAATGAAATGAACACGTATTTACATATTATATTTCATGTTCATTATTATAGCTTATTCAAGAAAACAAACACACTCTTCTGATTGGTTGTTTATTACAGAAAGTTGACTTTGTATCTCTTTGTGACTGTTTCTTGAATGTCAGATAATCTAAACGCCAAGTGTGCTATGATTGGTTGTTGAATCAGTCTTGTTCATATTTTCTCACCACCAATATTTGCGACAAACCCATTGATGTAAAGTGCTGCTACAATTTGGCTAGCCTGCTCTCACCACACTCGAAGTGCCGTTCACAATAGGCATGATTTCAACCACAAATTTATGCGACTTTTAATTCCACTAAAAGCTTGTTATTCAGTTGTATTTTCATTGATGCATATAATTTCTTAGCATGTTCAAGTTTACTTTTGAGATGGATTGAACATACATACACAGACACACACACACACTGAGGAGACCATTGATCATCATTACGCGCAGTCCAGGAGTATGCAAGAGTGGAACCTGAATGGCAAAACGACAAGTCCTGAGTGTCCGAAAGCTTATTGGCGATCGTAAAACCAGCTAAATAGGAATTCACTTAAAACAGGATGAAATGGGGCTTTGCTTCCGAAGTCCTATGTCCCACTCGGAATCAAGGAAGAATAAAAATAAATGATAATAATAATCGGGTTTACTTTATGACACGCTTCGTGAATCCTGAGTGACAGGCGCAGCAAATGAAAACAAATGTAACAAGCACAAGCAGATTTGTAGCTAATCAGGTGGATGATTTTGATGTGGTTGTGTTCTCTAAGCTGGATAAGTAATTTTGCGAAGCTTTCATTACCCTACTACTACTAGGCAACATCTTCAGCGCATACTTCAATTTGAAGTCTTAGTTTAAAGTTGACATTATTTAGTTTTCACCTATGTTTAACTTCCAATGAGAGTCGTATTATCACTAGAATTGAAAACTTCATTACATTGCGACTTTAATGCCACATGAGAAACTTGCAAATATGCCTTGTTAAAGTAGATGAATAAATCAAGCCTATTAACGACGATGAAACCTAACAACGGAATACCATACCACAAGTCAGAGAACACCTATCTGTACAGCCATATGGATATTATATCAGAAATGTTACATCCTATAACCCTTATCTGTTTTGTTTTCCTTCACGTTCCCCAGTGGAACATAGAGCTCCAAGCTAGAAGGCTTGAGGTTTCTGTAGCAGTGTTAATATTTACAAGATGGGGTTTCTAGCCTCATGTTCAACTTTTCAGCTTTACCAGTCTCACTGCTGGCCTAACGAGGTAAAGGGGTGCGTTGGCGGCCAGGGATCGAACCCCTGACCATGTGCATAGTCAGCCAGCGTCCTAACCGCTGTGCCACCGACGCATAACCCTTATCTAGCGACTAATAATTTCTCTGTATGTCCTAAAAACCGTCTAGCAGGGAAATGCACATAAATACTTTGATAGTTTTAAAAAGTGAAAAAAAACAACAACATAACGAAACACTAAGTACTACAACTACTCACCTCACCGATTGTAGCCAGATTAGGTGGAAATGTGACATTCATTTTACCATTATTTAATGTATGATTACTATCATTGTTTAAGTATTGTTCATTTGCTGAATAAGCTACAACCATGTTAAGTTGTTGATTGCCTTTAAGAGTAGTCTTCTTATCTCCATTATTCACTTCATCGGGTACACTTGGTTTAACTTCAAAATCTATTAAATAAATAAAAATGAAATAATAACGATGAAAGAAGAAGATTTATTTATTTAAACGCAAGAAAAAACATGGTACAATATGGCACCAAGAAAGATGCGCCACACAATAATAATAAAACAACATAGATTAAAAGTAAAAATATAAGTAGAGAACGGATAAAGAACTTCATCTGGAAGGAAAACAGTCATGTTTAACAAGTTCAAACAGTATTCCTTAACTATCATCTGGAAGGTAAGAAAGAAGGAAATTGCAACACATTCGCCATTGATCACTGTGATTCTTGGCCATACGCGATAACGTTTCGAGCCATCGATTCGAGCTATCTCGCGGACCCCAACCAGGGAGTCGTGACGCACCAACCGATGTTAATCTAGCACAAACATCCTTCATCCCACGACGTCACGTCATGGATTGACCATCCCTCCACCTTCTCCATCCCTTTCCAGGGCAAGCGAACAGAGACCTGTACGGAAGCCCCTTCTGGGATGACATTCGCAGCACATGTCCAAGCCACCGGAGCCGGTGTTTCCAGATGACGACATTCAATGAATGGTGACCTCCACTGTGTTCAAACACACACCACCGAACCTCAGAATTACTCACGCAATGATGCCATCGAATGCAAGCAATCCTGCGGAGACAGCGATGGTCGAACACGCAGAGTCTTCGCACATCCTCAGCCGACTTGGAGAGGCCAGGTTTCACAGGCCTGGCGTAGAACACGACAGCCCGCACCGAAGCATTGTATACCCGACCTTTGACAGCCAGGCTAACATCGGGACGGTGCCAGAGGTGGCTCAAGTTCATGTATGCCACCCTAGCCTTCATTATACGGCTGGAAATCTCATCCGTCACCCCTCCGCCAGCTCTCACACAACCATCCAGATACACAAAGAAGAAGACAATGTAGCGTATTTATGTCATCATTAAAAATCATTGTAAAATAGACAAAACTCAAAGTAAGCTGTATAAATAGCATTGTCAATTAATCTAATAGTTTATTGTTAACATTACTTTTGTATGACATAAAACCTGAAATCAAAGCATTCTAGGTAAAACTTCAAAATGACTAATATCTACCTATCTATCTGTCTACCTATTCACCTATCTATCCGAGCCAAAAAAAAACGATTCATTATCGCTGGCTTGCTTTCCTCCTGTGTGAAGATTTATCTTTTAGATAAAGCTTTAGGTCATATGATATGATATATGTGAAAACAAATTATTCTTCAAAAATTCTAAAAAAATTAACAGCTCTTTACTACATTTTTTCTGAAGCTAACCAATGGTAATATATACACAGGTTACACTTTGCTTATTGTATCTATATTTAAAGCGTTTACTAAAGTCCTTAATTAGAATAATATATATGTGCATAACATAATATAATATCCAAATATATACAAAAATGAAGCTTTATTGGTCGTGAACTAGATTTACGCAGTAATTGATAAGTGGAACAACTTATGACTTATTGAAACAGACTGATTGTTGAGAATTTTGTCACATGAAATTGAACATGAAGGCAGTCAAAAAGTAGAATTAAAAATAATCGAGAGAAATTTGAATATTTTTCATGATTAAATGCAATTATAACAATAATAACAACAACAAATAATCGGGGCATTTGCACCCAGGACTGATGATATCTGGCTTTTGGCATTAACAGTGATAATATCGTCAAAAGTGTACGAAACGTGAAAAATGATGATAATAATGTTTATAGGTAAAATTATAAGTTAATTAATGTAGTGTCACTATAAATGACAAATAGGAGAGGATAAAGGAGTCAGTTACCTTACTAAATTCATAGTAAGTTATAATTTTGACGCGTCGGTGGCATAGCGGTTAAGACGCTCGCCGACCACGCACATGGTCCAGAGCTCGATTACCGGCCACCAACGCACTCCTTTACCTCGCTAAGCCAGAAATAGTGCTGGTAAAGAGGAAAGGTTGGGTATGAGGTTAGCGACCTCATCCCGTAAAACAAAAAATGCTGCAGAAACTTTAAGCCGCTAGCTTGAAGCCCTAAGTTCCACTGGGGAACGTGAAAGATAAAAAAAGTTATAATTTTCACGCTTAACACTATCTCTGTCATATACAGAACGCCGGCGAGCTAAATAGGGTGTAGTTGAATTTATGTCTTTAGTTGTGCGAGTGAACATATAATCTTTTATAATGACTTCTAGTCATATGTGTTTCCTCAAAATCTAAAATAAATTTTTGTCAATGAATGATCAAAATTTTCTACAGAATGTCTGTAAGCCTGCCACAATAAAGTTGACTAAAACTGTGAAGAACAGGTATCTACGAAGGATATCCATATCAAAAATGGATACAAATTTAATCTGCATACTGATGGTTAAATCTGAAGTTGCTTTCTCCTTCTGATGACTAGTTGTTTCTGTTCCTAGATGTTTGAAAAACTATGCTGGTAAAATTAATTTTACTTGTAGTTGCTTCATAACTTTCTCGCCTTGAAAAATCAAAGAATCGGCAGCCAGTATTGGTTAAAGCCTACTACATTCTTCTTGAACTAGTTAATTCACAGATATGTAGTTTTCGGATATATCTCAGTGGGGTAATCTACTGTGGTCCTGCACAAGTAATGCTAGACTGTTTATTATATTTTTAGAGTTCTGGGGATTTCGATAGATGTTCTTGTATTATTAGTCCTCCTTCTTCTAACAACTATTATTTTTTCGACTCAGCATCATGTTTTCACGGTTCACTCAGTTTTCACTCTATTGTGCATTATTATTTAAATTTTAAATTTGATGCCCAGCTGGGCATCGTTTCAAGCCATTTTGCCCATTTCTTTTGATTGCTTTTCTAATAAACGCACAGTATTGGGACTCAGAAGGGATGGTCTCACAAACTTGAGGATTATTTAGCTGTGACTAATAATTTGCTTTATTCGAAAACAATACTTGTGATACAGCATGGAATTTTCAGTGTTTGCTACAATGTTCCATCTAGTTTATTCAAAAAAACATTATATGGTAGTACGTAACCAAAGTTGATGATAACAACTTTTTTAGCTTCAGCAATGACAATAAATTCAAAAATATACAAACAGTATAAAATGATAATAATATTAAAATTAAAGGCTATAATATGATAAAAAATCCCGGTGGGTGCGTACTGCTGAGGAGTCCCAAACTAGGACGAAACGCATCCTTGTTTCTTGTCCTATAATCCAAAAAACCACAAAAAATAAAAAAAATAATGTCACCATAAATTGCAAATACGAGACGATCAAAGAGCCATTTATTTCGCTAATTACATAGTAAGTTATAAGTCTCATGCTTAACACTATCTCTGTCACATAGAGCACGAGTGGGCTAAATTGGGTTAGCGTTTAGTTTTTGTACTTAGTTGTGCAAGTTATGCATATAATCTTTTATAAAGACTTCTAGTCCTACGTGGTGAGATAAAAGGCAGGGAGATTTGTGCATAGAGAGAATGTTCAGAGTTACACAATATGGATTTAGACCACTTCTCGGAGGAGTTCAGACGTTTGTCGACTACAGTAGTAACCACCTGACTTAGTAGTACACTGTTTGTCCTACTGGGAAAAACTTTGAATATAGTCGTTTTGGAGTTGCCAAAGAAAGACTAACAAGGGAGCAACAAAGAACAATAGGTAAGAAGCAAGAGTTGACAGACTGCAAAAGTAGCGTTTGAGTGATTTGTGATCGTCTTAACTCCTAATGTAGTCGGTTAAACGAAATAACTTCTTAGAAGTCGACAACACATAGGATGATGAGGAAAGGTTAGAGGATAGAACTATCTCAGGGTATTTTATTCGTGACATAATTTATATATCAGTGCTCTGTGCGTTGCAAGCATCATATGAACCGACCAGTTCATGTAGAACAGGTTCATCCCTGAAAGTGAATTCAACTGTGTGACAATTAGAGAAATTTAAAGTAGGGCCACTTAGCTTACACTATTGGCCTATTATATTTGGAACAGTCAGATCGGGACGTAACTGGCAGCAAGGCAGTTAGATTATCATTCGAAAGATGGTCAATTTAAACTTCAAGCACCACTAACTATCAATCACCGAATGACCTTGAGTGGCCCGATGAGTTTCACCCACGTGAGTTGAAGGTCCTATTCCGCTTGATTCGAGTCAAATGTCAGGGAAGGTAAACTGATGATCCTTATATTGCGTAGGAACATTTCTTGCCAGGTCCCAATTTTCCTTAACCCAGAGTGTGTAAATTTGTAGCTACTGGGTTTTAATACGGACTATGACAGGTGTAGCTGCTGAAACAGAGAAAATAGTCTCCTATCAACAGTTCAGTGGTACCACCACTGCGGAGATATCGCATCATGGAAAATAGAGAGAATTACTTCGTTGTTAAGAGGAAAAGGTATCATTGTACACATGGTTGATTGGAAAGGTTATAACTACCTGTCATCCCTTGGATATATTTATCACAGAGTGAATCATTCTAATGATTCTATACAGGGAGACACATCAGTTCTATAAAAAAACTTATGGGGAAGGTCAAACATAGGATTAGGCCGATTAATAGATCTGAAACGCATTTCATTTATAGTCATTTAGATGAATATATATGTATTGAATGTGGTAAAACTTTCCAATTGATACTCCTATGCTCAGCTGGGAGATGTCTATACCATATGTCAGAGAAAGGTCTCCCATGAAACATTTTTATGCATTTTTTCCATAAATATGTGTTTTCCATTGCCAAAAATGCCTTCTTCATGTGATTGGTGAGTTCAGAGTCATTCGCTGATTGGTAATCAGTGATGCCTAAAGTTTAACTTTACCCGAAACAGACAAGCCATGTAAAAAGAAGGACTCCAGCTTGTCTTCCAATTTTCAACGGATGAATACTGTCATCATCATCTTGCTTTCGGTGATCATGGTGTTAATGAATTATACGGTGTATAAGGTTTACTCAGCAAATAAACAACCAGTGTATAAACGAAACGCGTAAAACGAGTAATGTATTCTTAT